CTCCTCCTCGTCCTCCCCCTCCTCTCCTCCTCCTCGTCCTCCCCCTCCTCGTCCTCCCCCTCCTCCTCCTCCTCCTCCCCCTCCTCCTCCTCCTCCTCCTCCTCCTCCTTCGAACCTCGAGTCTGGCAGGCCTAGGACACACACTAATCGAACGGCCGCGGCGCCCGACACTCAGCGGCACCAGCACGGGTGCTCGCTCACTAACGGGTATTTGGGAGATTTGCCGAAAGTTGCCGTTTTAGGGCGTCGCTCTGGCATTGCAGCGCTGCCCACATCGGGGAGGGTTGTGTTCGCCGGGTCACTGGCCAAAGTGCCCGTTAGTGGAGTCCCCGCTAGAGGGGCGTCGGGATACATCATCCGAGCCCGCCGCTCGGAGGTGTCAGAGCATCGGGTCCCCGAGAAGGCGGAGGTCTCTGGCGTGTGATACCTCGCATGGCCGACCGGAGCGAGGCAAGCTGCGGTGAGTCTCGCCCTGATCCCAGGCCCGATGCCCGGAGGTCCCGACCTTTCCCCCAGGGCTGTCGTTTTTCTCGTGCCGAGTTTTTGCGAGCGGTCCCGGGGCCAGCGAGGGCCCCCAGCAGACGGGGAGGCTCTGCTTCAGGGCGTGCTTGTGCGCTTCATGTGAGGTATGATTTGTTCGGGCAGTCGACGGTGATGCAGACGGCAGCAGGGTCGGCGACGTCGGTTTTGAAAACGGCTTCGGCGGCGAGAATGACGGCGGTAATGTTAGTCATTGAACAGATGGCGTCGATACCAGCTTTCTGACACAGCGCATTTCGTTTCAGGATCCCGCGGTTACTTCGCAATCCGGTCTGCAATCGCGTTCACATGTTTGGGGGGGTATTTGGTAATCCCGGCTACCTCGCTCTGCCACATGTCATGCACGCGCGCTGGCAGCTCGCGGCGCAGGCTGCCCACGTCGTAGAGGTCTTTGATGTGCGCTTGCGCGGAGCTTCAAGCGCCCGCGGTAGTCGTCCAGCGTCTCCTCCCAGGGGCGCCGCGGCAAGGTTTTCTCGAGGCGCTGCCTGGTCCAAGCCACGGCGGTCTCGTGGAGCAGAATGCCCTGCAGGTTGCCCGGCTGGATGAGCGCGTCCTCCCCGAAGAACGACTTCAGGCCCGCCGTTGCCAGGGCCTTCTTGTGTTCCGCGGTGGTTTGGGCCCCCGCCCGCCCCGGAGAAGCCGCCGCTGCGGTCCGCGAACACCACACCTTCGGCGCGCGGGCCTCCCGACGTCGGCCGGTCAACGCGGCCCCGGCACGCGGCCGACCATCACGGCGGCGCCATCCGACGTCCACCTTGGGAACGCGTCCGGCAGCGCCTCGATGGGACACGAGTCTTTCTTGCCACGGGATGGGGACCCACCAGACTCTCTGCGTGTCGGAGCTGCGCAGATGCTGCACCGCCCAAGGCATCCAGAGGCTCGCCGATCTGCCCCCGGCCCCCCCTGCTCACCCGCGCATTCCCGGCCCCCCCTGACCAGCGCGAGCTGTTTGGCCTCGTTCTGGGTCTTCGGGAGCATGCTACTGCAGAGGTCGCACCACACGACGTTGTTGTACATTGTAGAACCGAGAGTCCGTGCGCTTGTGCGCCCGCGTGTGCACGGCGAAAGCCAACCTTTGAGCAAGGACTGCCGCGCTCCAGTCTGTTGCGCAGGCATAGCTCGACACATCGCCAGGACAATGGCGGCCCGAACCAGGCGCACGTTCACAACGGGTTCAGCAGATCGCAGCGAGCTCTGAAAACGTGTTCTGGTACGCTCACAATCAGGCCAAGTCGCTTAGCCACTCCATGGATCCTGCGAGATTGCGTACCGTGGCAGTCGTGCCATGTTCTGCCAGAGGTCGTCGGGGTCCTCGCCGCAGCACGTCTCCCTGAAGACCTGGTGGACAAGGTGCTTGTCGACGGGTTGCCCGGTATCCGGGTCCATCGTCGCTGTCGGGCACGCAGTTGCGCGATGGTTGGCGGAGCACGTCGGCTCCTCTCCTCTCGGGTCCACCCTTGGCCACTTGCGTTGGCCGCGCCCCGCCCGAAAAGCTTCGAAATGGGCGTCTAGGCCCTTGCATCCTTACCGCGCATCCTTACTAGACTGGTTGACTGTATCCGGGTTCATCGTCGCTGTCGGGCACGCAGCCGCGCTGGCGGAGCACGTCGGCTCCCCTCCCCCCCCGTCTTCAGCCTCTCTGCGGCCGCAGCGCTCGTCGTCGCTTTTTCGGGCCCCTGGACAAGCCTCTGCGGGCCTGTCTGCCACAAAAGGGCCGCTCAGGGCCCACACCCGCGGCCGCGGCTCGAGCAGGGAGATGGACTACAGAATCGAGCTGCCCGAGCATTTTTTCCCGTCGGACCCACAAGAAATACCAATATTTCCCTTAGATCTACGAAAGAGCGCGTTCTGTGGTCGCTCGGAGGGGGGGGGGGTTGGGACCTCCCTCCCCCTTGGGAGGGGGGGGGGGGGCGGGGAGTCCCCCTGGATCTGATCGACCGCGCCGAGTGTTGGAGGGGGG